TGCTTTCACTTAAATTGATGTTTAAAAATCTTAATTCGATAATTTATTCTTAAAATAATAGACTGTCTGTGCAACGTACCCATACTGTTTGTATTTATCCTGATGAACAATGCACATGAATGTTAACGCATGTGCATATAAAAATCCTAAAATTGTTTGCCCATATTCATAGTCGCCCGCAGACTATATTTTACCAAAAAAGTAGCCCCTAAGAGATAAAAGTTTGGCCACACCTGCTATAGACAATGGCGATTCAAACTCGCTTCGCCGATTAATGCCCTGGCACACTTTAATTTACAATGAAGTCCCTGGTACTAATCAGACTGTTATGAAATTTAATCAATCTTTATTGAAAAACTGTCTAAATATTGATATTAATACATTATGATTACGAAAGACATGGCAACCGATAACGTTACCATGTTTAAATTAAAACAATCGATAACGTTTCCAAGCCTAAATGACTTGTAATATTACCACTATAACGAAACTAAATAAGTTTACAGTCAGCTTTTAGATAAAATTTCGAAATAGTTTTCTTCAGCTAATTCTTACATATACAAAAAATGTCGTTATCAGATTGATACGACTACAAAAATTATTTTTAAAACTAACGTAGAAATCATCGAAAATAATGATCGAAAGTGATCTTCTTCCTAACATTTGAAAACTAATGTTAAACTACTTTCCGTACTGAAGCAGTTTAGCATGTGTTATATGAGTATGTGCATAATGGATAGTGTTGTTTTAAATGTTGCTGTTTGAGCGTCGTTTCAAAGCTGGATGCTGCTTCTATCGCCAGTCTTATCAATTTTCATACATACAGGCTAGCACAACAGGGCACTGGCTGGAATTCGACAATGCCCAACAATTCCATATCATATCTGATAGTATACAAGTCAGGCCCCTCCATTTAAATCAGGTGATTTGATGAGAATCGTTATGTTCAGAAGAGTTAGCAGAACGTTACTCTAACGACGAATTATACATGTATTTTGAATCAAAATTTTTAAATGTAGATTACAGATAAATAGAAATATGGGCAATTTGCTGAAGCAGTATCGTTTTGCCGTATACGAATAAATCAAACCAAATCCGAAGAGAGAACATGATAACAACCAAACGAGAAACTCACTGCAGAAATAATTATTAAAAATTCCATAGGATTATTGGTATAATGAATATCATAGTATTCCAATACTAAAACTGAAAAATGAGAACCCTCGTGTCTATGTAATTACTAATATAAAAGCCGTCGTCTGTGTGTGAATTCCTTATAACTCCTGCAATATTTGTCCAATCCAGTCGAAATTTTGGTTACATTCGTTTAATGTTCTGACTGAAAGTATAGGCTATTTATTTTGCGGAAATATCAATATTAGCAATAGAATAAACGTTTTATCGATTTCGGATCGGTTATCGCTCATCTAACACGTACTGTACAGTACATACAATTCATCTTTGTTTTATCAATGTGGAATTAAAAAGACTCGCCATTTTGTAAAAAAATACCTAGGAGAAAGCGTAAGAGTAGAATTGGTCAAGTAAATTCTAGATCTAAAAGAATAAGAATCCCGAAGGCAGTGAAGTCCGACTTGAGCAACATGGAGTAAGAATGGCTTTGTCAAGGGCTGCATCTCTACTCTTATCAACTTTTCAATCTTTACTTTCTCATAAAAAAAATTCCGTCATTCTTGACAGGAGAATTTCTAGTAAGAATATATTATAATATTTACAAATTATAGAGAAGAAGGTGGTATTATGGAATCCCATTTTCATTTTAGTGAATTGTAAACAAGGTATCATAACTACACCTACATTTTTTGTGCGAAAAGTACTGGTAACTATTAAACTAAATGTTCCTAATTGGATCTTTCGCTAGTGTAACTATAAGTATGGTTTTTGAAGGCTTCTGTACAAAAAGTTAGAAGGCTTAGGGAAAACCGGGTGGTAATATGGAACTCTAATGTATGTTCTCAAAAAATGCTTTAATATATCCAAAAACAAATAGGAAAGTACAAAGAATGTTAAATAATTACAAAATTATTTACTCCAATGTATTTTATCTAAAAAATGCTTTTATAATAGAAAAATATGACCTCTAGCAATAATATATATTCCAGCAGCTGTTTTTCGATATTCTCAGGAAGAATTGGCTTTCTATCTAGTGGCTTTTTCACAAATTGCTCCGGACGAATGTCTGCTTGCAAAGAGAGTTCGGAGGATTTGAGTTCCCAGAGGAGTTAGGTTCCATATTAAAAGCACCAATGGGGTCCGTATTTCACGCATCGCCATCTTGAATGTCTGTCAAGACCAAATTTTAAAAAACGTGAACATCACACAGATTAATATGTACCCCTAAGTCTCTGGAACGGAATACATGCACCAGTGAACCTACAACTACACGATTTATATTTTAAAAATAATTAAATTCACTTAGCATTCAAAACTTTCGAATTTTTAAAAACACAAATTTGCTGATTCACTACGGACAACTGTTTAACTGAAGTGAAACGGGTTTTTCCCTTGCTTTGGATGTCTGCCTAGTTCAGTTCAGCGACAATCCGTTACAGTTCGCCTTTATTATCAGTTCGAAATGGAGTGGTTCCATAATACCCGCAGTGTTCCATAATACCACCTTTTACTCTATAAATTATGTAAAATGATATTAGGAAGGTTATAAGAATAAATTATAACAAAAATAATCACCAATTACTCTCTTATAAGATAATCAATCATTTGAGTATTTCATAAACCAACTAGAAAACAATTTTCAAATAATCTATTTATCAATTTTTACCGTTTTTCTAAACATGAAATACCGCGCATAATTATTTATTTGCAGTTCCCCCTTATCCGCGCCAACCGCAATCCGAAAATATTAAAAGGAAAATTCCTAAAATAACAGTTCGTAAGTTTTAAATTGCATCATGCTATTATTTAAAAATTATTATAGCATGATGAAATATCGCGCTGGCCCGCTTGGTACACGAATCACCTGTTTGTCCAGCAGGGTACACGACAACTCGGCGATTCAAAATGGGCGACAAAAACAAAAATTTTTGCACATTTAGCGAGCATACGATTTGGCGGATATTTTTTATTTACCCCAAAAAAAATTCTTTATAGGGAAATTTCGTTTGCAAAATTACACTTTTTGATAAATAAAGTATTATTTTACGTAAGTTTTTCGTTATTTTACAAAAATTTAAATTAATATAAACGTTGTTTTAATTTTAAGTAAGTTTAAATTATGTGTTAAAATACTTACAACCTAGTTAACTAAATTTTCGTAAAAAAATTGTAAATTTTTATTGCACAAAACAATTTAAAAAAAAGCCAGCAACGAATTGCTCAACTTTCCCGGCAACCTTTAAAATTTTGGTGGCGTTATCTTTTATCATATATTATTTTAAATACTTTTTACATATTTATCTATTATAAAACGGCAAAAACCTTAATTTTGAAAGCACGAATGAGTTTTATAAAGAAAAATATAAATGCTAATAACAAGTAAAATCGTCATTAAGTCCGACCCTATTGAAAATACACGCAACCCCCATTATCTCCCCATCCCCTCGACCTGTAACCACCAAAATAGCATTAATCCCCGTAATAAACAAACTTCCCTGGAAAATTTCAGAAAGTGTGCAACGAGTTTCTAAAGCACAAGCGTTATTAAGCTTCAAACAGGATGAACAAAATCGTATCCCCCACACACATAATAGAATATTTACGTGGCATTGATCAATTTAAAATATAACGTTTGTTTTGAATTTCCTTTTTCTTTTTTTAAAAAATTTTTTTGTTGTTGTTTTGTAACGTTTTTTGATTATCCCTATCTAAAAAATCTTTTTATTTTATCGAATATGAAAGAATATAACAGAATCTGAATACCTATTACACACCGATTATTGTATTTCAAAAAGCATGTAAACGAATATCATATAATTCTTTACTTTTTTATTATTATATTTTATTCATATACTTTTAACTGTATTTTTAATTATTTTTATTGTATACTAATTTATTCGTCAATCGTTGTTGTTTGTGTTTATGTATTGTATTTGGGGTTCAAATATTAATTAGGGGGAAGGAAATCCTTTGTCGTAAGACTTTTGAGAATGTAATTGTTATAAATAAATGAAGTTTATACTTAACCAAATGTATATATATATATATGTGATTCGATATTATCTGAAGTGTCATGCATTTCCTGCGAATCGGTTTTTTACTTTTTTACTCTTTCCGCCTTTGAACGCTAAAAGACTTTTTTTAATGCCGCTTCATCGAGAGCCTGGCCGAATATTGATTCGGCCAGGCTCACAATGGGGCGGCCGGGTGGTGAGGGTCGGGACCCGCATATCCAGACGGACCACCCCCAGAAAATATTCCTGGGGATGATTCGATCCCGGGTCCCCCAGAGCGGTTGGCTGCCACCTTGACTGACCGGCCATCCAGTCAAAAGTAAACGGGACTATAAAAACTAAACATTAAAATTAAATTTATAAAATCTAAAACTATTAAATTTACATTTAGTTTAAAAAATAAATAATCTGATGAAATCTTTGCATTAAAAATATTTCAAATAAAAATGTATTCATTATAACTTAACTAATCCAATACTGAAATACAATCTGATATTATTACTTATGACAATGACAGAATACTTCAACAGTAAATTTTAGACATCAGAATGAACAAAATTTTCCATGTGTGAATTTGTATATGTAAAAATTTTAAATATATAACTAATATTAATTTAGTATACATAAAGTTTCGGATTAAATATAATCTATTTATAAAATAATTCCCTCTACTATAATTTATTTGTAAAAATAATTAAATTCGACATAAACGAATTGGACGCGAGTGCCCAAACCGGCCTGCCAATCACTTATAAACGATAGAAACGTGTCGACATTTTGTACGTGCAGAAAATACAAAATATTCGTCGGCGACTTACGCTCAATTCGGGCACCACAGTTAAGAAAACGCAATTATTTATTGACGGTCTGTTGGTGTTCGGCCATGTGAGTGTCGACTCTTCTTTTGAGAGGAAATCTCAAACCACAAACTCCGCAAATATATCGTTCGCTTCTGTGATCGGCCAGATGAATTTCCAAGTGATTCTTGGACGAGAAGGACTTTGAACAATTTTTGCACGGGTAAGTTCTTTGTTTTCTGCCCGAACGTCTTTTCGTCACCTTTTGAATCTTGGCTGCCTTGATGCCGCCTTTCCAGTTGCTATCCACTCTCTCGCCCAAGTCGACCGTGATCTTCGTCAGTTTATAACCGGAATATTGATCCTTCGTGCAAAAATCGAAATGTTCGTGGTAATCCACTTTTACTCCTAAATTGACCGTCACGTCGCGTAAAACGATTGGGGGCCATCCCGTGTTTTCTTTGTTCTTTTCGTCCTCTTCCTCGCATCCGGAACCGTCTGTAGAATTTTCCCAGCTCGACCGGAAGTGCACGCGACGTAGCCTTCGTAGTCTTCGATTCATAATCTAACGCTTACTTTTCATTTACTATTCTATTTAACGAATAAATTAAACGAATAACAACTAAAAATTCCTTTTTCGGAAAAACAAACCTTACGAGTCGACTACATAATGTTATATTTCCATTTCTACACACGTAACCGTGGAAGTCTCCGACACGACGAAAACTAATTCGTTTACTTTCGTGTCGATAGATGGAGGCAGGTACTATTTCCGGCGGAAGTATGGTTAAAAATAAAATTTGTTTTAAATATTAAATAAACTGCTTTATNGTAATAAAAACACTGATCGAGAGATGGCGGGACTGTCGTATTTCTATATTTATTATTCGTTGTCAGGCGAATATATGATTTTATATAATTTATTGAAATTAAATGTGAAATTGTATAATTTATATTTTTATTATTTTATTGAACTCTTCAGAACTTTTGAGGGGCGTTAGCCAAGCCTCTTCTATGTGTCTGACAGTGTTGCGTTCCCTCTCAAAATTTTATGAAACTTTACCATTTTCCATTAATTTTGACAAGGAATCGAAAAATGTAATATGAGTCTGTTTAAACTTAAAAAATAAGGACTCACGACTTCGTTTTCGTTTGATTAAAATTGACAATGTCCGTGCTCTCTAATACAACTGAACGTGTATAATGAAATCTAAGGATCAAATTAAAAACAGCGTTGCGTGTGCCTAACGGAAAAAAAATCCAGCAACATTTGGTGATGTCACCTATTAAGATATTTTATTTTTTATCAAACACACTTTGTTACTGAGATATTTTTGTTTATTACGATGAACAAATGTTTTCAACCCACTCAAGAAGTCATCTTCAGGTTATTGATGCTAATTTAATATCTGCAACAGTTCTTTTGCTATTGTTCTTATCAAATCACTACGGAAATTAAATTCAATGTGTTTCAAACATTGTGTTAAATTCAAAAATATACAAAATAGAAACAGTCCAATTAGAATTAAACAAGATAAACATAGTGAAATAAATTACAATAAAATACATACATAAAATAAATACAAGGGATATCCGACGATAACCGAGGTACAGTAATACCTCGGTTTTCGTCGGTTGCCTCGGATTTCGTTGGCGTGCCCATGCGACCTCACTGCTAATTTTGCGGAAACAAAGGGCAACCCACACGTTTTCCTTCTCAGTGTGGCGTTGTTTCTCGTTGTGTGAGAATTACATTCCTCCGCATCTAGTCAAACAACTCCTCTATGACAGCCGGATGGCCGAGCGATCAAGGTGGCAGCCTACTGCTCTGGGGGACCCGGGATCTAATGCGGACGAGTCGAAAAATCCCCAGTAATTTTTCGGGAGTGGTCCGTCCAGATGTGTCGGGTCCCATCATTCACCACCCAGCCGCCCCATTCTGGGCCTAGCAGAACCCATAACGGGCTTGCTAAAAGTGCCCACTGAGCAGAAAAAGTTTTGAAAAAGCCAAACGATTCCATTGTTTCCTTTCCTTTTAGCTTCATCATGGGACCAATGAGTTTCCACAGCCAGCAGCCCTTCGAATGCCTTGTTAAACGTTCATTTATTCTTTACATTAATATTTTACGAGTATATTAATTTCTTATTGTTTTCAGTATTAAACACTATATTTATTCTCTATAAAATGTATTTTTGGTATGTATTTTGGAGTGTCTAGAACGAATTAATTGGATTTATATTGATTCATATGGAAATCATTGCCTCGGTTTTCGTCGGTTTCGGATTTCGCCGATTGTTTTCGGACGGATTATCGACGAAAATCAAGGTATCACTGTATAAATATAAATATAACATATGATTCTGCATCGACCGCATGCTCCGCATTAAATTATGAGTTCTTTTTAACTATATACTTTCAAGCTGAAGGCAAAATTGTGGCATCCTTATAGTTCAAACATTTTCCAGCCAGGCTAGACATATATTTCGCACTTTTCTAATGTTAACGAAAGAGCCGGTGAACGTATTGGTGCCACGATTCTGGCTTCTGCCCATTCAACCATTGACCCATCTGTTTGTGCCACCTTCGATAACGCTGTTGAATAGTGTCTTTTATTTATGTCATATTGATACTTATGCTCCTTGATTCTTTTGTTTAGGTTCCTGGTTGTGACACCCACGTACTCCTTGTTGATACCTAGTTGGTCATTCCTGTACGGTATCGTGTATACGCCTGCTTGCTCTTTCTCTCCGATCCTATCATTGTCGTTTCTGAGTAAGTTGTATATCGTGGGAGCCCTTTTGCATATTAGTACCGTGTTTTTGTAATTCGCAATCTTCTTCATAATACCTGATAGACCTCTGTTATACGTGAACTTCGTGATACTGTTGTTCGTATCTGTCTTATTCCTCTTTTATTTAGGATCCGTGTAAGAATTAATTAAGTTTTTAATGACTCTTGTTCGAAAGCCCTTATTTTCTAATAAGGGCTTTTCTTACTTTTTATTCTTATTTTATTTTAAAAACTTTTTCTACACTATTAACTATTTTAACTAAAGTGGCAAAAAGCTTAATTTTCAGGGTAGGGATGAATTTTATAAAAAAAATTGTAAGTGCTAATAACGAGTAAAATCATCATTATTAACTCTAACCCTACTCGAGATATGACACACGACCCTTCTATCCCCAACCTTTAACCACTAAAAATTTTATAGCAACAATCCCCTAATACACAAACCTCCCTGCAAAATTTCAATCTTTTCGACAAAAAGCACAGGAGTTAAGCTTCAAAGAGAGTAAACAAAATCGTGTCCCCGTACATCTATATATTCAGAAAACCCCTGAATTTTTCGCATTTCGACGTTCCAAGGTGACCTGAGTCCGAAAATGTAAAAATCTGCGGGGAGGCATTTTTTGACCGATCGCCATAACTTTCCTCTGTTATAAATAACAGAGCCAGGAAAGTAAGAAGATATAAAAATCAATATTATGACGAATTAATTGATCATTTGACGAATTTTATAATTGCTGTAGGAATTGAGAGGACCTGTATTATTTATTCGTATTTATCAAAAGTCAACCAAGTCCACAAAAACGAAACCAAATGGTGAGAGAGGCGGATCGACATATTCTGGTCACACCACCAGAAAATTTTTGCGATTTCAATTTTGGTTCCCAGAGTAGCAGGCCATCCAATCGTCTGCTCTAAGAAGAGACTAAACAGAGTTCATAATCTGATGGCTAGCAAAGACACCAGCTTGCTGTTCTGAGAACCTGGGTTCGAACTGGGCAAAGAATTCTGGGAAATTTTCATGGGCGGTCTAGTCCAGATGTAGTATGGTCGTGTCCCTTGCCCATCAGCCTCCCTTTGTGGGCCTGGTAAACTCACAATGGATGTGAAGAAAGCGTCTCTTATTGTCTACAGCAGGGGTCACCGAACTTTCTCCATATGGACGATCTCTCATCCTCTTTTTGGCAGATTGCCCTTGTGTTGTGTCGGGAGGACATTTTATGGGAAACTGGCCTCTACATGTTAGACAAACGTTTTGGAAGAGGTAAAATATTTGTGACTAATTGTAAAAAACAGTGAAAATCGCTTATTCTAATCACACATATTTATTTTTGAATGCGCTCGCCATTTAGAGTGACATTTTTCTAAACATTCAATCAATTTTTGTATATCATGCATGAAAAACTTTATATTCTCGTACAGCAATTTGAACTTTGACATCTGATAAAAACAGTTGACTTTGAATATGTTTAATTTTGAGAACAACCAGAAGCCTGATGATGGCAGATTTAGACTCTAGATCAGTGTTTTTCAACTTTCTTGAATATGCGACCCCTTTAAAAGTTAAAAAATTATGGCGATCCCCCTGGGCCATATTAAAACTATATCAGTGATTTTAAAAACTACGTATTTAATTTTCTTTCTGTTGAGACCTAAATATCGATCGAAAAACCAATTGTACTGTAAAATAAACAGGCACAGCCTTCTCACTAAAATTGTAGGTTTTTTTATTGTAGTGTAGGACCTACATACATTTGTCTTTTTCTTTTACCCGCGACCCCCGTATAAGGTTTTGCGACCCCCCTAGGGGTCGCGACCCACAGGTTGAAAAACACTGCTCTAGATTATGACGTTATAATCTAGAGCAGTGTTTTTAAACGTCTTTGGTATGTTTCCTTACTTCAGTGTGTTTTTGTATTATCATGGTTGAAGAAAAAATAGTTCTTTTCACTTCCATATATCCATTGCTTTTTACAGCAATGGATATATGGCTTGCAAACGTTTTTGATTTTCGCTATGTATGCAACATCCCACTGAAGGGGCCTGCCAGTGGCCGAGTGGCTAAAACCACTGAACACTGGTAGTTAGTTCTGGGTTCGCATCCAACGAACGAACTGTAGAATAGAGTTTTCCGGGTTTCCCTCACCTTCCTAACACATTAATTCGGGACTAGTTTTCCACGGAATATTTTCCTGACAGGTACGCTTCTTGGCAGATCATATTTGTGTTGCGTTGCCACATCTCCATCAATCTAATTAATTCTGCTGTAAAAAAATCAATCACGAATCACTAATTTGTATGGAATGAGAAAAATGACATAATGCTTACGCTCAACAACACAACAGACAGACTGCGCGCGCACACACAGAACAGAACGTTATTCGTGGTTAAATAGTCTTGATATATGTTTCTATCCTAGCACTTCGCAAAATGCTGGGGTAGATGATCTTATTTATCAATCAACCCGCATATATATTTCTGAGTGTTTTTAATACGTTTTGGTAGTTTGAATATTCAAGTTATCATTGCTTTCCAGTGTAATGTTTAGTTTAGTTTGTTAGATTACGGCAACGCAACACTTGAGCGATCTGCCTAGGGGGAATGCCTTCCGGGAGGTCTTTTAAGGGAAATTGGCCCCTATTTAAGCGTTACAGACGTGGAGAAAACCCGGAAAACTCCACGTGGCCAGCCTATCCGAGCGAGGAGCGAACCTACGACCGAACTCCCAGTGTTCAGGGTACGAAGACCGCTCGGCCACTGGTGGGCTCCAGTGT